TTGATGGTTATGGTTTGTATCCTGTTAATGCGTGTATTAAGGCCTGTAGTGTTGGTCGTATTTTTTCTTCTATGAACTTTATAGTTTTAGGCTTTATATTCAGGTCGTTGATCCATTTTGAAGTAGTTTTTGTATACAGTGTGAGGTATGGGTCCTGTTTCATTTTTTTGCAGATGGATATCCAGTTTTGCCAGCAGGGAATGACAGATTCTTGACCTTCAATTCTTTCCTTGGGCTGGACTTTCTCCCAGGCTCAAGGTAATGCTCTATCCTAGAATTTAAGGCAGAAAAGGCTCCAGCCTTTCAGAGCACACACCTGCATTTTTCAGTTACAGAATTCTATTTCTTTTGGCAACAAGATCACATTCAAATGGGAGGAATTTACTCATTCCAGAACATGACAGGCATCCAGGGCAAGGCTTGAAAACTTGAACCTGATTTTCTCCAGGGACTCAGGGGTCGAAGGATGAGTTTGTGTGTTTACCTACATAACCTTGCTCCTTGTAGATCAACATACGCACTGTTGATAACAACATGGGTACATTTTCAGAGAGAACGTATTTTTCAGGTTTGTTCAATGCACTCATGCTTTCCCCAAACAACTATCAGTGGTAAATTGCATGTTGCTGTGATGCTGGAAGCTATGTCACTGGTATTCAAATACCAGCAGGGTCACCCACGGCAGACAGTTTTCAGCTGACCTTCCAAACTAAAACAGACTAGGAAGAAGAACCTGGTGGTCTCCTTCTGAAAAGAATTAGCCAATGAAAACCTTATGAATTACAGCCGAACACTGTCTAATACAGTGCCAGAAAATGAGCCCTTCAGGTTGGAAGGCCTTCTCAAAGTACAGTCGACCTTAATGACGTGGATGGAGACAAGCTGTCAGGACCTTCATTTGCTGATGTGACACGACTCAAAATGAGAAGAAACAGCTGCAAACCCCCATTAATAATCGGAACGTGGATTGTATGAAGTATGAACCTAAGAAAATTGGAAATTGTCAAAAAAGAAATGGAACGCATAAACATCGATATTCTAAGCATTAGTGAGCTGAAATGGACTGGTATTTGCCGTTCTGAATCGGACAATCATATGGTCTACTATGCCGGGAATGACAACTTGAAGAGGAATGGCATTACATTCACCATCAAAAAGAACGTTTCAAGATTTATCCTCAAATACAACGCTGTCAGTGATAATATCCATATGCCTACAAGGAAGATCAATTAATACGACTAGTATTCAAATTTATGCCCCAACCACTAAGGCAAAAGATGAAGAAATTGAAGATTTTTAGCAACTTCTGCTGTCTGAAATTGATCGAACATGCAATCAGGATTCACTGATAATTACTGGTGATTGGAATGCAAAAGTCAGAAACAAAGAAGGAAGATCGGTAGTCGGAAAATATGGCCTTGGTGACAGAAACAATGCTGGAGATTGCATGACAGAACTTTGAAAGACAACGACTTCTTCACTGCAAATACTTTCATTCACTAACATAAACAGCAACTATACACGTGGACCTCCCCAGATGGAATAACCAGGAATCAAATCAACATCTGTGGAAAGAGACGATGGAGAAGCTCAATATCATCAGTTGGAACAAGGCCAGAGGCCGACTGTGGAACAGACCATCAACTGCTCATATGCAAGTTCAAGTTGAAGCTGAAAAAAACTAGAACAAGTCCATGAGAGTCAAAGTACAACCTTGAATATATCCCACCTGAATTTAGAGACCGTGTCAAGAATAGATTTGACGCATCAGTCACTAATGACTGAAGACCAGAGGAGTTGTGAAATGACATTATATATGAAGAAAGAGATCCTTAAAAAGACAGGAAAAAAGAGAGTGGCAGAATGGATAAGAAAACAGGAT